TGACAAATTGCAGGGTAGCCTCCACAGAATAGTCTGTAAATACCGTTTTCCAGTATAGTTATTCATTTCCTATTGATTGGTATGTTTACCGGTAAGTACTACATATTTATGCAGTAAACACTAGTTATTTACCAGTGAAGTTACCATTTGAAGGTTTTGTTCCAACAGTGACATTTGTGTGAGATGTTGTCCTTTAATATTAAAAGTTCCTTATTCATATCTGATGCTTGTTATGGTTCTGATTCCACAGCAGCTACACCAACCAGCAACAGCTTTGACCCCTGCAATAAGTACAGTGTTATTGATGAAGGCTGGAGAAATACACGCACTACCAGTAAAAGAGCTCATGATGACACTCTTGTTGAATGGAACGGCTGGTATCGGCTGTATCTGCAGGGCAAAAGTGCTCAGATGTCTGAATGGTGTGTGAGCTTCGCTACATGTGGTGGATACACTCAGTTCTGGCTCAATGGATCTCATCCACGCCTAGAAGACGGCATCGTCACCCGACAAATCCATGGAACCAACAATAACTACTACTACTACTACAACTACTACTACTACTACTACTACTACTACTATTATAACCAATGCAGTTACACACACAGATCCAAACCAATCCAAGTGAAAGCCTGCCCAGGACATTACTATGTCTACAAACTTGTTAAACCAGAATTGTCCATTCCGATGCCCTCATACTGTACAGGTCTTTTTTTTTTTTACTATATTTCTCTATTAATAAACTATCATTGTATTATATTTCTAATATTTTTTCTTCCTCTAATTTGAGTGGGTGATACTAGGAATTATTGATCTCATAATAAAAACAATGTAGCCCTAACAAAATCGTTAATGTTTTGTTTCGATCAAATGTTGAAATGTGAAATCTTGTTTTTCTATGTAAATTTTAAAATTAATGAATAAATAATGAATAAATAATTTCCTTTTAAACAATAATACAGTTCAAACACATGGAAACTTAAATGTAGATCATTTTTAGAAATTAAACAAGACTTGTTGTTTCCATTACAGTTGCTTTTGACAATGTCGCTGACCCCTGCTACAGCTATGTCTCACTGGATCAACCCTGGAGAGCCAATAATGAGACTGGATTGTGGTTTTTTAACAGAGACCTCAACTGGAACGGCTGGTACCGGCTGTTCTATTATGGGATGAACATCCGTATGGCAGAGAGCTGCGTTCCTACATCCAGATGTGGTGCTTATTACACTCTGTGGCTCAATGGTCCTCATCCTCAGATAGAGGATGGAGTGGTCACTCGCCAGGCCTGTGGAAATGGAGGAAGTGATTGCTGTTCCTTCCGCCTCAACCCCATTCGTGTTAAAGCATGCCCAGGAAACTACTATGTCTATGAGCTCGTCAATCCACTCTACTACAGTACAGCCTACTGTACAGGTGATTGTACATTTTTTTGTGTGTGTTTTTTTTCACACTCTTTTGTAATTTTTATATTTGCTTTGAAATGTCCTATTTTCAGATGTGAGCACTATAACTCCGATTGCTGCCCAAACAACCACAGCTACTGAAGCAGAATTCAACAACACTAGGGGTAGGTTACCATTCTAACTTTTAACTATAAAATGTATTTAGTAACAGTTTACTTTAATACTAATAACATTGAAATAACCATGCCATAAACATATCTTAGCAGATGTCATATGCTGTCATGACAGATTATGTCCATTAACATAATAGTATCCTATTATCATTACTGGAAGCTGTCTTGACAGCTGCCTGTTGTTTGGTGATTGTTGCCAAGAAAGGAAAAATGTACTAAAATCAAGAAAATCTAAAATTAGCAAACTGTAGCATATAAATCTTCTTTTTAGCTTCAAGCTCCATACTAAGGAACCTTAAATCCATACTGAAATACATAAAATGACATACATTCCTGAAAACACTTCACGAAATGAAGCATGAAAGGTTTAAAAAGCCAGAGGTATGATTAAAAAAAACTGCTTCATTTACTCAAAAGTGATGGAATATAATTTAAAAAGGGTAAAAACAAACAAACATACAAAAAAATACCAATAAATAAATCAGTGAATAAATGTATGATTCAACCACTCATGTGATAAAATTATAAAAAATTCCAGTTAGATTCTTAAAATGTCTAAAGTGTTCTTGAAATACCTTCTTTCTTAGTGTAACACTTCAAAACTCTCAACACTTTCATGTAGCTTTTGTCCTTACATTTATCCATTTCACGATTAATAAATAATATTCATTATATTGTCATGACACCTAGCTGCTCTTCAATTTTCTGATAAAATTACAGCTAAATACAGTGAATATGTTATTGCCACACAAAAAATGGAGGCCACCATAGCAACAATTCAGCTTGCAAAATGTTGTCCCTCCTAGATATTCCACGATCAACCGTGAGGGGTATTATTGAAAAGTGGATCCATTTAGGAACCACAGCAATTCAGCCATAAAGTTACAGCCCCCAGGGTCACCGAGTGCTGATACGCATAGAGCATAAAAGTTGCCTGTGCTCTGCTAACTCATTAAATGCGAGTTCCAAACCTCCTCTGGCATCAACTTCAGCACAAAAATGTGCACCGGGAGCTTCATGGCATCGATTTCCATGGCCGAGCAACTGCATGCAAGCCTTACATCACCAAGTACAATGCCAAGCGTCGGATGGAGTGGTGTAAAGCACATCGCCACTGGACTCTGGAGCAGTGAAAACGCCTTCTGTGTAGTGATGAATCACGCTTCTCTATCTGGCAGTCTGATGGATGAGTCTGGGTTTGGCGAATGCCAGGAGAACGTTACCTAATGCTACCTAAGGCCTTTTTCGTTTATATATATATATATATATATATATATATATATATATATATATTCTCTTTGCCGTTTCGTTGTCTGCATTGCTGTGTGACCAGCAATCTGCACGTCAGTCTTCAGTGTTAAAAGTTGGTGAATTAGCAGTTATACAGTAACTCCAGCGTTTAAGACTATTTATTGTGAAAACTGTGTTAGAACTGTGTGTTATAACAATTTTATAGCAAATGTTATTTTACCTAAAAATCTAGTTCTGCTTGGGAGTTGCAACAGCTCTGCAGCAGTGGAGAGATTATTCAGCTGCGCAAGTCTGATTCTCATCCCAAACAGTACCAAAGTCACTGATGAGAATTTTGAGGCTAAAGTGTTGCTGAAGTTTAACAAAGGACTCTAAATGTCATGTCTGTTCATATCTTGCTGAAATAGAGCAGTTTTATTTCAACAGTTGACAATGCTTTGCACAAAGGTGTTTGGTTTGTATGTGTTTGGTTATTTCTGTTGATTTTTGTTAGGAAAAAGCTGGAATGATTGACTTTTCCTTTAGTCTAAATGTTTGTTGGATATCACGCCTTTGGTTGTATAAGTTTGATTGTTGGTTTCACTTAAACTTACTTTTTGGTGATCTATTTGTATATTTGCAGCTTTTCAATTGTATGTTTCTTTCTGGCACAGGATTAAATGCAGTGTCTTGTTCACACTATCAGTTGGACTTGTTTGTTGTGTCAGGTGAAGATTCACAAACATTCTGTCGCACTTTGAAAGTAGCTAAAAAGTAGCGCACTACTTTTCAAAAAGTAGCTAAAAAGTAGCCACTACTCTTTTCTGGAAAAGTAGCTAAATTGTAAATTTTATGAAGAGATGATTGTGAGACAGGTGGGTCTTAAACAGAATGCACTCCAAAACGCTATAGGCTGGAATGATGTGAACAATGCTAATCGAGTAGTGTGTTGCTGCCATATAGAGTCCTGAGTGGATGTAACAGCCATAGCATTATGCAGGCAGGAGGTTAAGCCTTTATAGCAGAGGTGTCCAATCCTATCCGCAAAGGGCTGGTGTGGCTGCAGGGTTTCATTCAAAACGAGCTGAAGCACACCTGTTTCCACTAGTTTAATCAGTTCCTCTCAGGCATCAAGCATTTGATCGTGTGATCTCCTGTTTGTTGGAATGAAAACCTATAGCTACACCGGCCCTTTGCGGATGAGATTGGACATTCCTGCTTTGTAGAATACCCATGTCCTGGGTACCTGGGTCCTTTTGCAGGCTCTGTTACATACATTCACAAGCTCTGAGGTACTGGAGAAATAACTATTGCTTACAGTTTAAGTGATAACTAATGAACTGTGAAGCTGATACTGTCAAAATTATGTGAATTTGATTTAATTGATGAGCAATTAAAGCACAAACTGTTTCCACAGCAACCACTCCAACCAACAACTTTGACCCCTGCTATGAATACACTGTTCTTGAGGATGACTGGAGAAACATAAGCAACATCTACTACTGGTACTCAAACAATGGAGTTCATGACGACACTGTTGTTGAGTGGAACGGCTGGTATCGGCTCTTTTATCATGGAGAAAATGCTCAGATTCTAGAGGGCTGTGTGAGCTACATGGAATGTGGTGGTTACACTTCACTCTGGCTTGGTGGCTCTCATCCACGGCCAGAGGACGGCATCGTCACCCGAGAAATCTATGCCTCCAGAATTGATGAAAACTATCAGTACCAGTGCAAGCGCTACACATCCTCCAACCCAATCCAAGTGAAAGCTTGTCCAGGTCATTACTATGTCTACAAACTTGTCAAGCCAGATGTGTCACTCATAATGCCTACATACTGCACAGGTAACAAAGCTATTTTGCGTTTGTTATGTACTTTTCATCTGTTTATAAATTGCACAAAAAATTAAACAAAATTAACCATAAAAAATACCTTTTACATAATACTTTAAAAGGCTTAAGTGTTACTTAGAGAGAAAATCACTGTGGATAGTTTCAGTTTGAGTTTAGAACAAGTAGTCTAAGCATATTTGCCACAGAAACAGAACTCTTACTCTTTCTATAACAGTTGCTCTCACCTACCCAAGTTATGATCCCTGCTACAACTACAATGTGCTGGATGATCCTGTAAGAGCTACAAACCAAACACGCAACAGCTGGTCTTGGTGGTGGTGGTGGTGTGACACCAACATGAACTGGAACGGCTGGTATCGTCTTCTGAATCAGGGAAATAATATCCGGATGCCAGAATTGTGTGTTAGTCAGGGCATGTGTAGCACTGATGTCCCTCTCTGGCTGAATGGTTCTCACCCACGTCTGGAAGATGGAGTGGTCACTCGGAAAGTCTGTGGAAGCTGGAACAATGACTGCTGTTATTTCAAGTCCTTCCCCATTCAAGTGAAAGCTTGTCCGGGAAATTACTACGTATATGAGTTTGTCAGTCCAGCCATCTGTTCTTCAGTCTACTGTGCAGGTAGATTTGATTATTGGAATGCAGAGCATTTAATTATAGTTTTTCTCTCTCTTTTAACTTGTTTATTTTTAATTAATATTAATTTGTCTCATTACAGATATTGATAGTATTACTCCAGTTGATGACCCAGAGATCCCAGAATTTATAGATCCTATGACCACAACAACCACTACAGGTAAATTATGATAACACCTTATTTGAAGGCTACATAGGGACTTCATAACACATAAAATAATACATGTATATTTATAAACAGAAATCACAATATAACATAAAATATTTAATAAAGTAAATGGAATTGTACTGACTAAAGTGATATGAATTTTGTGTCCAGTTTATTACAGTCTTATGAGTCACATTTACAGGGTATTTGAAAGTACACTAGTACGCCTTACTATAGGCTGAAATTACCAGGGGGACAGGGTTGTCCTGACACTGCCTTACTGGGGGAAAACAGAGAATTATCCCCTTCGATATATTTCATAGCAAACATACTATATACTATATAATTTTAAACAATGTAACAATATGCACTGAAAGGGCTTCTAATTATACATTCAGAATCATTTGTTTTTAAGTTTACGCCTCAGAGCGGTTTGGTCCACTGCCTACCATACCCGAATCCAAATCCATGGAGGCAGGAGATCCACAATAAACTCATCATAACTCGCTGAATTTTTCACTAATTTTCAAGCGGTTTGGTTTGTTATAATGTTTTTGCGGATAGTAACAGTAATATTACTACAATATAATATTTAAGATTAACTCAACCTATATAGTTACATTCTATAGTAAATGTTCTTACCACATGTAAAATGGCTGGATATAGTTTTGTATAAAATTTAAATTAGAATAATTTTTACTGTGATATGCAATAAGTTGTATTACACAATACCATGCAGTTAATGTACAGTTAATTTTATCTATACAGATACAATTTGTAATTTAAATTTAAAAAGTATCATGTATATTTATGTTGACCTGTCTTTGGTCACATAAATGTCCATATCTTGTTTTAAAAGACTACTACAATAAATAAATATTTTTGTTTGATTTAGTTGGCACATTAATTGCAGTATTTCTTCTATTTTTAGAGCAATACTTATTTTGAGCTTTATGTTCCTGTACTGTAACAGACTCAGGGATTAGACCACTAACACATATTTAATAAATGCAGAAAAGTATCAGAAAATATTGTTAAAATATATATGAAAATATGGTTATAAGGCAAATTCATACTAAAACCATCTTTATGATGGTTCTCAATGGAGATTCTGTAAGATGATGTCACACTATACTCTTCAATTAGGAACATTACAACCATATATGGTGTACCATAGGCCATTCTTGGTATTGCTGGTTGAACATACAAACACATGCATATATAGACTACTGGACTGATAAACAACACTGCTATAAATAGTATTATTATGAATATTAATATTATAATTTAAACATTTGAACCTGCTGGTACAATCCTTAAGTTATTTGCCTATCAATTGTCCAGTATATAAAGTAGTGACGGGTGTTTTCGTTATACACATTTAATACAAGAGTACTTTTAGTGGCACCTTTTATGTTCCCTTCAGGAACTGCTCTTGAGAATGTTTTCTCTTTATTGTTCCCCCAACAGTGAAATCAAATATCTGCCTATGAAAGCAAGTCAAATAAAATTTGGATAAAGATCAAAAGGAAGTTTGGTCTCATTTCAGTGTCTCTACTCTCCCATATCAATCATAATTATATTTGTCCACCCTCTTTACAAGATTCTGCTCATTTCTGTTTATGTTATTGTACAATATGTTTTTCAGATTTTTGTAAAGTAATATGTTTTAATTTCTACAGAATAACTTAACAAATTTCTCTGGTCCAGTGAACAGTACATTGCTTGATGCTATTCTTATTATAGACTCATAGAATAAAAGTTTTTTTCTTTTTAAAATAATTTGCTTCAGAGGAATTTACTTCTTTTCAAAAATATAAAAAAATAAAATTAAAAATATTAACACAATATGTAATGTGTAATTAAAACCTTTTGTACAAGCTGTGCTATTCAACTCTGCCTTTTCAGCACGCCTGATCCACATTCCGCTATGTTCTGCAATATGTATACTAAACAAAATTATACTGAAACCCATTTACAGGGCAATGAATTTATTGAAGATTTAATAATTCATTAAGTTATCAGTTTAACTAATACGTAGTTAAACCAGGTATGCTGAAAAGCAGAGTTGAAGAACACACCTGTGTGCAAAAGGTTTTAATTACATCTTTTGTTGATTTTTAAAGTGAAAATAAGTAAATGAAAAAAGTTTTTTTAAGTGTACAGACTAAGTATCAGTCACCCAGCAGAACTTAAGGACTCGCGGTTTCATTGTTCAGTCTGAGCTGTTTTTTTCTTTAACTAGTCTGATTCTGTTTGTGTACTTTGACTCTAAGATTTAGCCCTAAGATTTGACTCTTAGATTTAGTAAATCTGTCTGATGCATTGTTACTTCATTTCTCTGTTTATTTATCTCTCGTTAGTGATGATGGACCCCTGCACAGAACAGAACTGCACTGAGGATGAGTGGTGTGGGGAGAGAGATGGCATCTATGGCTGCTTCTGTAATGAAAGTCATTCTAGAACAGGAGACGAGTCTTATGGTACCAGCAAATTTTAACAAGCACAGACACTCAAAGCACTTTCTGTAAAATATTTCCTTAAGCCTCATTCATTTTATGCTCTCATTTTGTCACAGACTCCAGAGAAACCTGCGAGAGCAGCTCTGGCACCATGTCTCTGTCCCGCTGTCAGCTCTTTGAAGCTGGTTTCCCTGTTAATGTCCTGCACCTGAGTGACCCCAGCTGCAATGGAACTCTCCAAAACGGCAGACTGGTGTTCCACTTTGATAACGATGACCACATCTGTGGCACAAATCTCACGGTAAACTGAGAAGAAACCGTACTGACTAATTTATCTCTCAAGCATGTTACACTATGCTGGCACCTGCAGAAAGAGACTCCCAAAAACAAAAGCAATAACGGTCATAAAAGAATATATACAAATGAAGGTTTTACACGGTCACTGTGGTGGTACACTCAAGGTTGCATCTTCAGTACCTTTGTTTAGGGAACGTAATTGTATCATATTCCATTGAAATTGTATTCTTTTAAGTTGTATTGACTCCACATTCACTGTCTTGTCACTAGCCTTCTGTTTGAAACATTATTTAAAGCTACAAATATACACCTCTCTGCTGGTAAAAACAAATTAGTTAGTTAGACCCTAAAAACATTGTTGAAAATACTACAAAGACAACATATCAAATGTTGAAACTGAAAAATGTTGTTGGTTTTTTTATTTTATTTTATTTTATTTTTTTATTTTCCCATTTTGAATTTGATGCCAGCAATACATTCCACAAAAGTTGGGACAGGGACATGTTTACCACTGTGTTGCATCATCTCTTCTTTTAACAACACTCTAAGCGTTTGGGAACTGAGGAGAGCAACTGCTGTAGTTTTGACAGTGAAATGTTTTGCCATTCATGCTTGATATAGGATTTCAGCTGCTAAACAGTTCGGGGTCTCCTTTGTCATATTTTTCGTTTCATAATGCACCAAAAGTTTTCAATGGGACTGGACTGCAGGCAGGTCAGTTTAGCACTTCACCTCAGTCCATCTTAAATGAGTCTGGACTCAGAGGAGGCGGCAACATTTCTGGATGCTGTTTTATAATGGTTCTTTCTTTGTGTGGTGAGTTTTAACTTGCATTTGTGGATGCAGCAACAAACTGTGTTCACAGACAGCCCAAACTGTTTTTTGGCCTTGTCCCTTGCATACAAAGATTTCTCAAAATTTCTCTGAAACTTTTAATGATACCATACTTAATAAAATCCCAAAGAAATGACAGTTCTTTGCTATTTTATGTTGAGAAAGCTTATTCTTCTGAAGTGTTGCACTATTTGCCTACATAGTCTTTCACAGAATGGTGAACCCCTCCCCATTTTTACTTCTGAAAGTCTGAAAGACTCGGTCTGGGATGCTCTTTTTATACTCAATCATGTCACTAACCTGTTGCCAATGAACTACCAGGTATTTTTTTTAGCATCACACAACTTTTCCAGTCTTTTATCGCCCCCACCAACTTTTTTGAAATGTGTTGCTGGCATTCAAAATGGGCATATATTTTTCAATATGTTGTCTTTGAACAATTTTAAATAAATATAGGGTTTAAATGATTTACAGATCATTGCATTCTCTTTTTATTTACATTTTGCACAGCATCCCAACTTTTTTGGAAATGGGGTTGTACAGTAAAGGGGGAACATTTACACTGTTTGAAAGAACCTTGACAAATGAAAAACATAACTGCACAGTATATTTTTTTCTGACAGTGTAGATGCACAGATTGTATCATGTTATTTGACAAAAAAAATTTCATCATGAATAAAACTGTTTACAGGCCAACGGTACCCACTTTGTGTACGAGAACTCTATCCAGGGGGTAGCAGACTCAGCAGGAGGACCCATCAACAGAAAGAAACAACTGGAACTGCGTTTCTCCTGCATTTATCAGCTCAGCCAGACACTCACCATGGACATGGAATTCAACCCCCTGCAGAGGTGGGATTAGAAACACTAATGATAAAGCGGGACTGCATATGAGCTGACAGAGGAGGAACAGACCACCATGACATCACTGTAGATTAGAGATATTAGTCATTTGTAAACCACAATCATGGTTTATATGTGTCAAACAAAGTAATATTTATATATTAATGAGTGGTGAATAAGTCTGTAATTAGTCAATTATGAAGTAAAAGCTTATAGATGTCTTATAAACTATCATTATTATAGTGTTCCAAAATATCTTTATATTACTTGAAAGTTCTTAATGTATTTCTGATCAAGATTGTGAGATTTAGAATCGTATATTTTATAGTGTGCGGGTGGCTGTAAACTCACAATGTTGGGACTGATGTTGAGATGTGCTGTAGACATCTGCACCACATGTGACCATGCTATATATTTCTATTTAAATATATAGCATGGTCACATGTTTTCTACAGTGTTTAAACATATTAAACAGTATTAAACATGTCTGAACATAGAAATTGGAGTAACTATAGGTGCTCCTGAGTGCTTCAGTACTTTTAAAAAGGGTTTCAGAGTAACATACTTGCAAGCTTAGAGAAAAAACTACTGACTTTAAGTTATTTTGTTCATTATTCATTTTTTAATGGTTAAGATATATAGGGCTGTGTGATGGAAAGAGCCTCTAGTAGTGGGAGAAACTGGAAAACAATTTCAATATTGTTTCCCTCATGTACAGAATTTGGAAAGATAGGACTTTAGACTAAACTAAGAAGTCTGATGTTGTCTTCAAGTTGATTTACATCAAGAAATACTGTGTAATCAGTTACATGATCATTTAAAATGAGTTTATTGAGATTGTTTATAGACTAATATAATCTAGTGTATAGCAGTACATATTTAGGATGTTTATGGAGGAATATCTAATATTCTACAGTAAAGAAATTTGTAAATGACTTATTATTCAAAAATAATTCTTTTTACATTAGACTATGGGGTTCAAAAATTTTGCAGATAATTAATATAAAATAAATGATACATAATCTGTAAACCATGATCAAGAAAATCAATGCTGTTTGTTAACGTATACTAAATCATTGGAGGCCTAAAATTTTAAGCATTCTGTATATCTGGGTTAGAAAAGACACTATTTACTGTTGATTTTTAATCTAATAATGATTAGTCATTATTAGTATATAGTTATGTAATACAATACTACATTAATAGTAATATTGAAATACTATAAAACTACAATATAATTAGTTATGGTTAGTACATGATTTGTTCATTATAAAGTAGAAGCTAACTTAAATGTGAAGTAATGAGGAATAACTCTAAATTCCTGATTAGTTCATGATGAAGTAATTATGAAGAAAGAGCCATTGAGTGTCTTATATACTATCATTATTATAAAGTGTTATGAGATATTGTATTACTAAAATGGCATTTACACTATATGTGACACCAGTGTACCACTGATAATGAATCTCTGATTGGATATTTCAACAGCATAGTGCACAAGACCCTTCCAGATGGTCAGGGGATGTACCAGGTCAGGATGATTCCCTATCAGGATGCTGCCTTCTCCCATCCTTACGATGGCAGTGAGGACATAGTGGTGGACCAGAGGATCTATGTGGAAGTGATTGTTAAGGGAGTGGACAGCCGTCAGATTTCCACAGTGATAGATTCGTGTTGGGCCACTCCTGTGAATGACCAGAACTTTGCTGTCCGCTGGGACCTCATCATTAATAAGTAAGGAAAAGTAATGGAAAGTTCACACCTTTTTCACCTGTTTAATTTTATGAAATCATGCCTGCACATTCTCATGTTAATTCTCAATAGCTTTCAATGATTTAATGTTGAAGCATCACAAAATATTTTCAGGTGTCCTAATCAAGATGATAAGACAGTGAAAGTGCTTCAGAATGGTGTCTCCACAACTGGCCGTTTCAGCTTCAAGATGCTGGCCTTTAATAACTACTACTCCAAAGTTTTCCTCCACTGTGCCATCCACCTTTGCCTTCTGCAGGGCAACAACTGTGCAGCGGTCAGTTTTCACATTATCACCATGGTGACCTAAGATATTTGACCAGCATCATTTGGGTATTCATTACATTGTATGTTCTGTGCTGATCACTAAGCCACTCATTAAAAACCTGGTCTGTCTTTTCACACAAGAAAGAAGTTTGTAAAATCTTCAGGAATGATATTCCAGTACTGCAGCTTCCATAATATGAAACTTCTCCAGGTTTTTATTTAAAGTATATGTCTCCCTCTAGTGGTGCTGCAAGCTTCTTAACTGAACAGATTATCTGGTTTGTCTTGTACAGAACTGTTCTCCTGGACAGCAGCACAGAGCTGGCCGGTCTGTGGACATCCACGACAAAGCCTCCATCTCTGTGGGACCTTTTATCTGGACTGCTGGAAGCACAGGTGAATGATCACACTACACTTGCACTATTAAGACAGAACAGAAATTGAAAAGAATAAAAAAAAGTGTTGTTGTCCCAAAAAAGAAGTGTGGTAACTACAATAAAATAAAACAATGTAATATAAAATAAAATAAAATAAACAAATGCTCCAATTTTGAAATAGTTCTTGGCTAGTTCTAAGGATAAATAAATATAAGTATAAAATATAAGTGTTTAAGAATCAACTTGTACTTAAAAATTTAATTACACCATCATTTCCAAAAAAGTTGGGACACTGTGCAACATGTAAATGAAAACAAAATGCACTGATGTGCAAATCATTTAAACCATATATTTCATTGACAATAGTACAAAGACAGTAACACAGGAAGTAACACAACCAGTCTTCTGTAACAACAAACAGACAAAACAAGCAAACAATAAAACTTCCCTAACTGCCTGAGAGGATACATTACAAGAAACTCTAGGCTTTTACCAGTGACAAAAACAGCCACAAAAAAGCTAGGCTTTTACTAGTGATGACGAGTAACCTTCCCTCAGAACAGAGAGGATAACAGCCACAAAAAACACTAGGTTTCTTTACCAGTGACGATAAGTAACCTTCCCTCAGAACAGAGAGGATAACAGCCACAAAAAACACTAGGTTTCTTTACCAGTGACAATAAGTAAACTTTCCTTGTTTCAGAGAGGCTGACCTTTACTGACTTCTCTATCTTATAAAGCCAGTATTTCTCTTCAGTTCGAATATGCCTCGAAAATGAGGCGTTTTTATTCATCAAGTAGGTTTCAGTAAGCCATCCGGGTCACGGCACCAAGTTGTTAGAGTTTATTTCCACATACGGAGTATGGGTACAGCATGGAACAAAAGGACTTTGAGGAGGGGTAAGGAGGGGTTGTAGATTGAGTATATGAATAGAAATGTAGGGGTAGAGAAAAGGGGGGATTGTTATAACCTTAAGGTCATGAGACGAAGGGTCATTTAAATACAAACCAAGGAGGGAGGGGACAAAGTGAGAGTGTGACAGTTATCACTACTCTGCAAGCAAAAGACCATCTGCTAAAACTCTACAGTAAACATGGTTAAGACTATAAGAAAATAACAGATACAGGAGAATAACATATGTTGAAAGAATAACGTTAGAAAGGAAAGTAACATATGGTGACAATATTTTCTCTCACCTCGTCCCAACTTTTTTGGAACGTGTTGTTGGCATCAAATTCCAAATTGGGAAATTTTTTCATAAAACAATCAAATTTCTCAGTTTGAACATTTGATATGTTGTCTTTGTAGTATTTTCCTTTAAAAATGACATGATTTGCAAATCATCACATTGTATTTTTGTGTACTTTTTGCACAGCGTCCCAACTTTTTTGGAAATGGGATTGTAAAAAGACACCTTTACATAATCTTAGGGTGGGCTATGAAGTGACCCTAAGAGCAAGAGTTACTAATTCCTTGATAAACAGACCCTGGAGAAAGTGCTCATAAGCCCTTGATGTTGCAGTAATCGGCTGCAATGGTCTTTAACCCCCCTAAAATCCCACATACTAAGGCTTATTATTCAGTAACTACAGGGACTTCAGTGCAAACTGGTTGAGCTTTTCTTAGGTTATAGAAGTGTGTAATAAAATGTTGGGCCTGCCAGTGGGTTCTGGCCATATAAGGTTCTAATTTAATGTAATTTTACTTTGTCTTGACAGGTGAATGAAAACAGTCCTGCGATGTGTGGATCTCTGGTCATTCTCTTCGAGTCTTCTCTCCTTTAATGACAATATTAAGACAATCAAAATATGTGATTTCATATTTTATACACTAATCAAATCTCCATTTAGCTGAGTGTAGCATTAGAGTCTCATTTTGACCATGAAAGATTGTTCATTATTAGAGATCGTGATTCATTCGAGATATAGCAAAGATATGTTAAAGCTTGTAGAGTGAACATCAAACACCTGTCAGAATGCAGACATTATAGTTGCGCTTATTTAATACATTTAACATTCTTTTCTGAGAGCAGTATTTAACATTACAGATTATACTGTCTGGGTGAGAACAGAAATAAAGTTTGGGTGCTGAACAGGTTGATTGGTATGAAATATGTACCTTTTTCTTCTTAGTAATTCAATATTATTTCTCTTTTTTTACTTCTCCTTTCTCCAAGTGTGGATTATAATTTCATGTCTTAACAGTACATTTGAAAAATCATTGTAAATCATTTTGAAACACTGTTTTTTCTTCAATAAACTCCTTTTTAAATTGTGCACAGCACTTCAAGATCATTACAGTTTTGTTTCTGCTAGATTTGTTTTCTCTACATATTTCATTTTCTGGGCAAAGCTGGTTCACCATAGGGATACATAGGCAAGGCAAGGCAAGTTTATTTATATAGCACCTTTTATACACTGCTGTCATTCAAAATGCAGTACAAATGAGAAAATCAGAAAAATACAGAGTTCTCTTGACATAGTCTTGAAAAAAGTTTTTAAGTTTTGTAAAATGTCATATCATATCAAATAAATCACAGCTGTTACTACTGTAATTGTTTAATAATCCTGAAAGTGAACCAGCAGTTGAATGAGGAGCTTACCTTTAACAAAAAATGCATCATGTACACTTCAGATGATCACATATATGGGGAGCAAACTCACTTCTTTAGAGTTGCTCAAACCTCTCTTTACCAGAGGAGCTATAGGACTCTATACACAACTCCTAAGTAGCCAAACATCTGTTCAATTAAAAAAGCAACAACATCAACAACTACAGCAATAAGATCTTGTAACTAAGAGAACCAACAGACAAGTGTGGCAGGTGGGTGGGCGTGGCCTAGCATCACCTGTGGGACTGAGAACCAGTCACAGTGAGTCAGCTGGTAATTAGGCTATGCATTTCACCTGTGTGTGATTTACTACCTGCTACTTCTATGTTTCTCTGTTGCAGTAGTGGGTTAGGAACTGAGAGAGAGAGAGAGAGAGAAAGAGAGAGACATACACACACACACACACACACACACACACACACTGCACAACAGCAGAGCCAGCCCAAGAGCTTTCAACAAAGAGTTTAATAAATAGTTTTAAGTAGTTTTGTCCTTATTTGATGATGGCTGTAAAGCCAAAATAAATGCTTAAAGAAAAATCTTCATTAAAACTCCAGCTTTGCTGTGAAACCTCAGTTTCCATGCCTCCCTCCTCCTTAAAACCAAGGTTTGTTCACAACAAGTTACTATTTTTAGAGGAAAATTGTGAACAAACTTCACAGTATGTTTGTCTTTTTTAAATAAAACCTCTGTTATCGATGACGTTCATCAGGAACTAACAGACAACAAAGCTGCTAACTGCAGCCTTTGAGCTGTCGTTTCAACTACTCAACTCTCTGACACTGGTTTGAATGTTCATTTAGGTTAAATTAATGTTCATTAGTGTTCAGGTTTTGGGGAGCACTCGCTTGCTAACGGTGGTTCTTCTGACAGAGCTTACCAACATAGTTAGACAGCTCAGCTTTTGGGTTTCAGTTTTATTGTGGTTTACCGAGTGTGTAGTGAAACAGTTTTTATCTCATGTAATATTTTTACACAGAAACACACACAAAATACTTTTGGGTTTGTGTAAAGGGAGACTAAAAATAACATTATTTGGCTCAACAAACTTGTGAAATTCAAAAGCTTCTATTTTAATCAGTTGAGTTTTTAACTTTACTCAATTTAAAGTAGCGCCTCAATGCAGTAAATGTAGTTATTTTCTGAACTCAGAGAAACATGTTGAATGAAAGAATAATTCTGCATTAATTTAACATCTGGATTTTTCAAGCCTGAGATCAGTACGTATTCTTTCTGAGCTGTTTTGCACCAGTCAGCCATTTACAGATCTTTACATCACAGTATTTCAGTATAAACATTAAGTAAAATAACATTAAATAAAAAAACTTTGCTAGTTTTCTTTTCAGACTGAGTTAACTTTTTTATTGTTGGACAACAACTTTTTAACTCAGTTTACTTAATTTGAGCTGTTTTATTACTTTGTGTCCAATAAGATTAGCAGCTAGCTAAGCATTTGAATGGAGTTAGTGAGCCATCACTAAAATAAGTTGTCAGTCAGCTTATTTTTCTTTTTTTGTTTGGCCTAAAATATGAAGATTTGCTCAAGTGTACAGTTTGCTAATACTGTATTTGTATCTGCATTAGGGAAGAGACCTGCTGAATCGTAGTCTGCCTCCTTGGTAGCTGCTTGGGATAAAGATTGGATCTGAACCACTACAAAGTAAAATAAACCTTTACTAAGCTCTAGCTGGTGTCAACAGTTTTTCCTAGTTTGACCACTTGAAGCATTGTAGCTTACTGCTATTTGAAGCTCTGTTGTTCACAGCGTACCATGCAAGTGCCATTTATGTCACTAGACGTCAGCATGTTAACCATAATTAAACATCTGGATCACTCGCTACACTCAGGAGAAGTGCTGGACCAAACCACATGCAGTATTGGATGTTTATGATGAATAAAAACAGAGACATAATAACAGGATGAACAAGCTTTGTCACATCTATGAACTCATGATAGTCACAGAGGATAAGACTTCCTGGTTGTTGTGGTATTCGTATCACTTAAACACCTCTTGAGTTATAAAGCCTGAAAACACACAAACTATCATTTTAGTAAGAGTGGATATTGGAGTACTTGCTGATGTTGTGTCTCACTGCAATGTACCTTCTTTAGAGTAAGTTCTGCTGATTTTTATGACATTTATAACAAGGGTTCGACCCTTCCTGCATATTAGGGGCTTTGGGCTGTAAGGGTTATTGCCTTTACTTCTATAGTTGAAGTATATCTGTCACCATTCACCTCATAAATTAAAACACCTTCATGTGTGTATGTGGGACATTTTGATGCTCAACATTTTGCTTGTGGGTTTGATTATTTTATTTGAAACTTCTGATACAAAATTAACCCCTATTGAAGGACTATCCAGGTGCTGACCATCTAAAAACAAAGGGGTCATTTGGAGTTATTGGGTTATTGGACGGCAGTACATAATAAGCAAGTGCTTCTTCACATCCGTATAAAACAGTAGAGGACAAAAAAATGTGCTAACAAGCAATTTAAGTGGTTTTATTCAACATAAACATTTACCTGCTATAAAACAAAGCAAAGCTAAATTTTAGTTTAGATGAGCAAAATTGATATTTTACGGAAACTAAAATCCAATTTACCAATATTTGTATGGACAAAAAGAAAAAAAACATAATGTATGGATGCGTCTCATTTATGGGACCATTTCTGGGCTGCAAATGTCATCAGGGCTGTCTCATATCAAAAGACCTTGGAGGATCCTTGGAGGATTGAAATGCTGAGACCGGCCTCCTTCTTTTCACCAATTCTGCATTTTGCCAGGTTACTAAATGAGGTCAACATAAATATGATGTTCTCTTTCTGTAAATAATTAGTCATTTAAAATAATAAAAATAATAAACAGCTCTGGCCCCCTAGCAGTACCACTGCGGTCCACTGTGGGGCTGTGGCCCACAGATTGAAAACCATTGCTCTAGCCCACAGCTAGTCTTATGTCTTCAAAATCAACAGGAAAAGACATTGTGTATTAATTTATGACTACATTGCAGAAGTCTCTACTTGTTTTTTTATTTATTAAACTTAATAAATAAATGCTCTGATAAGATGCAGCTGAGTCATAATAGAACTGTGCAGAGAAGTGGCCTAAGCATTGGAAAGCAGTTTGACCACTTTACTGTGTACTTTTAGAGATATGTATGGAAACTAAAATCCAATTTACCAATATTTGTATGGACACATAATGTATGGATGCGTCTCATTTATGGGACCATTTCTGGGCTGCAAATGTCATCAGAATTCTGATGGATGCACCAATATATCCTTCTCAGCCTTGAGTTCCCATGAGCCTTTGCATCATATGTGTAGCTGTTGCTATGAAAATGGAGCAGAACCATTCTGGGCATTCTTTCATTTTTGAATCTTTACGCTTGTGAAAAGTATTGTGAGGTAAGGATGAAATGAACAAGTGTACTTGCATTCAATTTGTACAAGGAAATACAGTGTTGAAGTGAGTGACATGACTGAGATGTTCTCTACAGGGCTTGATAAGATCATCTCTGAGGTGTTTTATGACTTTTCCACATAATAAAGGTACAAACATGTTGTGCAGTAAAGGAGCCGAGCAGGTGCAGCTGCAGCAGGAAGAGCATCTTTAAAGATCTCTACGACTGCTGACTTCTCACTGCTACTCAATGTGGCTTCTTAGGTGAGTCATCAGTAATGTTTAACAATGGAACTGATGCTTTATGACACACAATAAAGAAAAATAGAATTAATCATGTGGGATTCAAATTAATTAGTGTGTTCCTGAGGAAAGTCTGTGAGAAAATCCTGTTTAATAGATTTGTATTAATTTTATAAGTAAGCAGCTAGGAAAAGAAATTATAATTATCACTATATCATTAAAATATAAGCATCTTTTATAATTCACAAAATCTGGAGCTCCTTCAGTTTTAATAATCCTGTATTAACAAATCCTGGTAACAGACAACCACATGTTTGTTTTTTGGCAGCCAAGAATGAAGTCTAACCACTAACAGTTCTGGCACAGTTCATTTATCCTTCAAGTTCAACTTTTTTTTTAATAAGAATTAGAATTAAATTAACATGATGCAGAGCACTTTCTTTCCTGTTAAGTGGCATTTGTTAAGTTAAAAGAGCCCACGTGTGTAATGCTGTTCCATCTGGTATTAAATTTCATTTAGATCCATTTCATTTTATTCCTAATGCTGAAGAAATGATGTAAATGCTGCATATCAAATTAATCTAAATTCAATCCCTTACGAATTACATTACTAGACCTTCTCCAGTAGAACAAATCCAGCTAAAATGTACATTTTTCTTATGATATTGTAAAGATTATCACATAGTTTTATGCAGTGTAATACTGGATTGTCATTCTATTTTGTGATG